TCTTTCCCTTTGCTGCTTCATTTAGCTTTTCTTTGCAGTCGTTCCTGCTCCGTCAATACGTTGTCTTAATTGTCTTTATTTCTCGTTTCTTCATAAGATTCCTTAAGATGTACGTCTAATTGTACATTTTTTTTCATTTTTTTTTTATTTTTTTTTGTTTTTTTTTTGTTTTGTTTGTTTTTTTTTTGTTTTTTTTTTGTTTTTTTCATGCCATACAGAAACTTATAGTAATTATTTACCGGCTTATCTATTTAGTCTCTTTTATCATAGTCATCGGTAGTGCGTGCCATTTTCACGCGTATTTTATTGGCCTACTAATCCCGTACGAATGGCTCGTAATTCGCAAGAGAGTAGTATAGCCTTTTACTCCTCCGTTGCGAAGCTCCCGAGATGCTTTTTATTTTATTTTATTTTCTTTTTTTTTTCTTTTTTTTTGCCATTTTCCTCCGGCGGTAAGTGTTAGGTACTCTTATTGTCGATTATCCCCATTCGTTCTACTCCGCTCCCTCCATTTTCCATATCCATGTCGTTGTGAATCCATACGCCTTAACCCCCGCGACTGGCCTAGGGGTACACTTAAGCCTTTTTATCGCGTCGCGCTTGCAAGCTCCTCTGTCCTCTCTGGCCCCAGTAGAACGCCTCGGATGAAATAATTTGTTCTTTATCGCTCCATTGTAAGCTCGCTACTCGCCACCTTCGAATCGAACTCCATTTTCGTCTCGCGCTTCCCTTCACTTCATGCCCACCCAGGGACTGCATTAAGAGGATTAACGGCACCGTTGGCCCGCGACTCTCCTCGACGTGGTTGTACTGCACTTTGCACTTGTAACAACGTAGCGTCGATGATTCGTGAAAATTGCGAAATTAAATTTCCGCAATATTAAAAAATGTAATACTATTTCTCGTTATCGTTATTCTTAGGCTGTTAAAATTTTTTGTGTGTGGTTGGGGTTGTGCATGGCGGGGGGCTAAGAGATTATTTCACACGTAGACATGAATTATTAATATCTTGTCAAAGAATTTCAATGTAAAGTATGAAGTAAAGTCGAGGCAGGACATTGGAGTTATTGCTTTGAAATTGCAAGGAAATTGTCGAGCGAGAAAAATTCATTAAAAATTCAAATCTCGTAGGCGAGAAGCGCGATCGAAGTTGTTGAATGATTTTAATTGGATCGTTAATCTTTCGAATAAGCATTATGGCATAAATGAAACAAGGAATGCTCTACTTTACCAAACATTAAAGCATTGCCAAAGAGCCGTAAGTGTACTCCGTTTGCGCTGCTGGAAAATACTCTCCCATCGCATCCCCGTACAACCGAAATATCCAGATGTTCGCTTTACGGCAAAGTTTTACCTCGCGAGCGAACAATGCGTAAGCTCATTAACACTAGTGTACAGGCGAATTATCGACAATAGTCCAACGTCAAATCGTAGCTATATAGGCTGACGCTATGGCACAAGTCGGAAACATCGTTAACCAGCTGAGTTGCATTTCGTGCAACGCGCAAACGAAACAAGAAGATGAAACACTACTAACTAACTATTTCGAACTATTTCCCAAGTAATTGATGCTGTAATTGAACGACATCTAACACCCCCCCCCCCACCACCACCACCAACCTACACCCTACACCCTACACCCTACACCCTACACCCTACACCCTACACCCCCCCCCCGCCAACCTACCCCCTA